TTCTGGGGTTTGGGCCAGTTGCTCTAAAGATCATTTTTTCTTAATACCGCTGAGATCTTCAATTTACTGTGAGGATCATCCATTTACAGCTGCATTGTCCTGTGAGGGCTACCTCTAGAAGGACTCCTCACCCCTGCTGTGAACAAAGTGGAAGGAAGCAATGAGACTGGGATGAGAACCTGCAGTGAGAACCTGCAGTGGGAGGGGACTTCTGTAAATTCACCCCACACGTGACAGGTAGTGACAAGTAGAAACTTCCTCCTCTGAGGTCCTGCATGAGGATGCTAATGAATGGTTCCTATCTCACCGGGCTTGGTTGGCTCTGTACAAATGACCCTTACCCGTTTCCTACCCTCCCAAGAGCACCAGCACCAAAATCGAGGCTCATGGGCGCTTTGGGGCTCCCTCCTCCCCGCACCTCCCCACTGGCCCCATTTTACACACAGGAAACCTGAAATTTAGACCCAGGAATGGTCAGTTCCCTAACACCGGAGGTGCTCTCTGCTGACCCTTATCCATGTCTCTCCCAGGACACACCTGATGTTCCAGTTTGTATTAAGATGGTAAGAAATACCCTGTGTGGGGTGCCCCGCACCCCCAGTTCAGGGGATTCTGAGAAATTGTGGGACCAGTCAGATGATAAAAACAGGAAAAAGCAAGTTTGTTTCTAGTGTTATGCACACAGGGTGGCAGGATATACCTGCTGAGTGTTCCCAGAAGGTCCCTGAGGAAACCATTAACCTGAGTCTCTCCTGTTCTTCTGCCAGAGGTGGCTGGGGTGGGGTGGGGGCAGGGAAAATATACTGAGAGGAGGGGGATGGGCACCCTTCCAGAGGTCAGGGTTACATTGCCCAGAGCTCCTGCACACGTTAATAAAAGGCGGCTAACTTGAGGATGGAGGTCAAGGTGAGCAAGGGGCTCGTCATCAGGGATTGTCACTGGGTTACACAGAGTGGATTGAAGGGGGGAAGGAGTGGGAGGTGAGTTGGGAGGGAGGGGCTTGTGTGGCACTGAGACCCCCAGCAGTGTTGGGGATTTGGGGAGGAGTGGCCGCCTTAGCCTCTGACTTTGACCCTTTCTTGGCTGGTTTCAGCCAAGGAATTGAGGAGAGGATATGGATTTGGAGAGGTGGCGGATAGGGAGAGTGGCCTGAGTCCGGAGGTGATCCAGGATGGACTTCCTCGGGGTTCCCAGGCTAGAGGAGGGAGTTTAAGGCATGGATGAGATGGCCCCCAGGAGGCTGGGGTGAAAGCACTGGAGGATCTCAGAGACCCAGAAGATGGGGCTGTGGGGAGAAGGAAGACGGGAAGGCGTTTGCCTCCATGGGAGTACTCTAAATTGAGACGGACCGAGAGAAGTAACTCCAAACGCAGTGGGTAGGCAGCCCAGGTTCTTCCAATCCGATGGAGTGGGGCTTAGAACTCTGCAAAAAAAAAAAAAAAGGGGGGGGTCATTCAGAGGGGAAGGTGCACAGCGGAGCCATCGAGCTCCTAAACTGGAAACGGGAGGCTCTGGAGGCGCTGACCTTTCCCCCAGCCTCGGTGGGGAGTTGGGCGGTGAGCCTCTGGAACCTGCTTTCCCGAATCCAGGCAGAAGTCCATGTAGGGTTGACACGAGGGAGCCGGGGAGTGAGGGAAACGGTGGCGACTCCTCACACTGGCGGGGGTTGCGGGCAGCGGCAAACCAAGAACCCGGGCTCGGGGCAGGGGGTTTCTCAACAGACTATAGAGTCCACGGCTGAGGACGGAAGGGATTTGGGGGACCTGAGAGGGATTCTCAGAAAGGGTTGAGGGGAACGGACACTATTTCTACCACGGTGCTGAATGAAGGCTCCCCGCTCGGGACGCGAGGCACCGAGAGGGTTCCGCGAATTGGATATGGGGGATATGGGACACTGGGAGCGGACTTAGGGCCGCTGAGGGGGGAACTCTAAATTAGGTTCGGCGGAAACTGGGGACTCGGAGGGTGATTCTCGCTCGGACTGGGGGAATGGAGGGATCCTCACCAGTCGGAACGTGAGGGGATTGGGGTCTATCTCCCTCCCGACCCAGGGAGATTGGGGACCTCTTAGATTCTGGATAGCGGGGACCTGAGAAGGAGGACTGGGGGGCCCCAGATCCGGAACCGAGCTACCTTGAAGGCACCGGGAAGCGCTTCATTCCGAGAGGGCGTTCCCGCGGCCCGGCCCCCGTGCCGGGGTGGATGGGGGGTGCGGCCGCGCCCAGGTCCCGGCCCGCCTCGGGATTCGGGGTCTCTCTCGCCCTCGGGGACCCGGGAGCCCGGCGGGAGCGGGATCCCGGCGCCGCCGCCTCCGCGGGCGCCCGGGCGGACCGGCGAGCGCTGGGATTTATGCTCGCAGGGCGGCGGGGGGAGGAGCCGGCAGGTCGGCCCCCGGCGGGCCCTCCCCTCGGCCGTCCCCGCCCGCCCGCCCGAGCGGGGTCGGGGGAGGGGGCAGCATGGCCTGTCCGTCCGGCCCCCTTCGCCGCGCTCCTCATCTGCCCCGCGCCGAGCGCTGCCGCCGCCGCCGCCGCCGCCGCTCCGCCTGCAGCCCGAAGCGCGTACGCCCAGTGCCCAGCGTGGGGGCGGTTAGCGCTGCAGCCCGCGCCGCAGCCCGCCCGGCTGGCTGGGCCAGAGGCGCTCGGTCCTCGCCGCCTCGGCTCGCGACACCCTCGGGCGCAAAGCTGCCAACCTGCAAAGCAGAGAGAGGGCGGTCAGCGAAGGGCGGCTGCGGCTGGGACTGGCGTCCCGGCGACCCGGGGGACAGCGCTGGGTCACTCGGAAGGTCCCAAGTGAGACCGAGGGATGAAAGGATAGAAGCCCTGGAGGAGGAGGCGGCTACAGGCTGCAGCCTCTAGTGCCGGAACAATAAGCAGCAGGCGGTCGGCAGAGACCCTCCCTCATTGTCTACCGTGGACCTGCCCCCGCCCCGCCCCTTTTGCCTTAAACCGCGCATCTGCTTTTATATGTTAATAATTATCAACCTGGCAGCTCTGACTCAGAGACAGTGTCTTTTATTCTAGTGAACTAACTGCAACCTTTTGGCACTCTTACTCCATTACTCAAAATGGAAAGGGCCCAAAAGAACAAAGGAAAGTTTTTTGGTTTTGGTTTTGGTTTACAAACACTGTGCACTCGCACTCCCGATTTTTAAAAATAAAAGAAAGGGGGAAAGCTAGGTGTGTAGAAATGTGTGTACACAATTGTGCGCAGGCACGTGTGCGCGACTGGATGTGAATCCGTCTTCTCCATCAGAGACACGTATTCAAAGCCCAAGGCAACAGCAAAAAGGTCAGAGTGCTTTGCTTGCCTCTTTATTCCCAACACTAAAAATAACACCCCTGCCCCCAGCCGCCTGGGAGAACTATTCAATTACAAACACCAGGAGCGTTCGAGGCTGCGGCCCACACGAAGTCCCAGCGCGCTGTGTCAAGCGAAACAGAAAATCAATTTGCATTGCGGAGAGGTGGGGAAGCCACAACCAAACAAAGAGATGCCGGCGCGTTGTCACAGCGCGCTGGGAGCCCACGGATCCGGCTTGGCACTCGCAGGCGGGCAGGGAGGTGTGCTATTTACATCCCGCGCAGCCCGCGAGCGTGGGCTCCGGGTGCGCGCACGCGCGCACACACACACACACACACACACACACACACACACACACACACACCGGCG